GTGTGTGTGTGTGTGTGTGTGTGTGTGTGTGTGTGTGTGTGTGGTGTGTGTGTGTGTGTGTGTGTGTGTGTGTGTGTGTGTGTTGCATATACATGAGAGTTCGTATACATGAGCCCACAGGCCAGAAGAAGGAATTGGGTATCTTCCTCTATTGCTCCCTGACTCACTGCCTGGAAACAAGGTCTCTGACTGAATTAGAAGCTCCCCATTTCAGCTAGGCTGGCTGGCCAGCAAGCTCCTGCATCTACCAGGCTCCGCCTCCTCCAACCCCAATGCTGGGGTTCTAGTCCATGCAGCCATACCCAGCTTTTTAATAAGTTTCTCTCATTGTATCAGGCTTCCGCATGGTCATGTACTGCTTTTATATGGCGGAAATGGGGATTTGAACTCAGGTCTTTATGTTTGCAGAGCAAGTGCTCTTACCTATTGAACCGTATTCCCAACTCTCTATTCCATCTGGAAATAAATCACAACATGTTTTTATGCTGGCAGCTTCAGAGCCCTCACCATTTACCCTCAGGATAAAGTCTTGCTGGTTGCCCCTCACCCAGCCTCAGCCCAGGCCTGGCTCATTACCTGCTGTGTGATCAGCTCCCGGTCTTCCTTCACCCCATCACATAGCTGGCCTACGTTAAACTAGTCATGCCACTTCTACTGCAAGGAAAATGAACTTGAGAGTAGGGAGATGCCTAAGAGGGCAAGATGGCTTACTGTGTGAGCACAAGGGCCCGGGTTCAAATCCCCAACACCCACATAAAAAGCCAAGTACAGCGGTCCGAAAGCCTAAATGTGGTGAAGGGAAGATACTGGAACATTTCTGAGGCTTGCTGCCCTCTGGCACAGCTCTAGTATCAGTGAGAAGCCATGTCTCAAAGGAATAAGACAGAAAGGAGTAGAAAGGCACAGCTGTCTCTGACCTCTGTGTGTGTACAGGCACACGCACCAACACACACACATATCTATACAACACACAAGCACACACATACACACACACATACACACACACACACAAGTACATAAAACCAGTGAATTCTCACTGTCTAAAAAACAACAATTTCATTTTCTATAAGAACCCAGAAACATCACTACACCCCCAGAACCTCCTTGTCCATGTCCTGCTCTGAAAACAATCCACACCCCACTCTTGTATTTTTTTTTATTATCTTCAGTATAGGGAAAGAAATGAAGGGGACGTGGGTTAACCACTTAGCCCAAGGTGATGCCATTTCTAAATGATAAAGCCATAAAACAAGCCCAGATCTGCCTAGGTTCGAAGTCCACATCCTTTAGCATGAGCACTATCCTCCCCATACTCCAAGGTCGCTGTCAAAGGAAGGGCACCTTACCAGCTGCCACCTTTTTGCCCTCCTTGAGCTGGTTGGCCACGTGTTCAGGCAGCATGGCATACAGCAAGGTCTCCGTCTTCTTCTTCTCGATGGCCAAGTGCTTGGAGAGGATACGCAACTCCTCCTTCTTCTCCTCCAGCTGGCGGGACAGCTCCATCTCTGCCAGCCTTTGCTGGTTGAGGAGGATGAGATCCCTGGTGGTATCATGGGGGGCGATGTCAGAAAGATGCATCTTGCTCTCTTCGAGCTCTTGCAGGCTGCAGAGCTTTGGAGAACACATGAAGATCATGCACTCCAGAGAGTCCATCCAGATCATCTGGCCTGCCCATCACAGAGAGGAGTGTGACAATGAAACCACATGGAATCGCATGGAACAAGAGGCAAGCAGCACCCATACCTACCACATGTCCTTTAGCCTCTGCACAGCCTGCTCCCTCCTTCTCAGCCATGTGTCGTGAAACTCATCTGTACCTCTGTCTCTGCTCACTCATAAGCCACTCTGTGCATAGCAGCTCTTCCTGTGACTGTGGTTCTGAGCTCGAGGTGCCAACACCAGCTGCTCTGTCTTCTCTCTGCCTTGCTCTTCTACTGTCTTAGATGTCAAGCTAACCTTCCCTCTGGAAATCTTGCTTCCCGAGGCTTCTTTCTACCACTGATTTCTCTCTGGACTTGCCCTACTTAACTGAAGGTTTTCTTTGCTCTGTGTCTACCCTCTCCCCTTTTCTCACTTTCGTAAATGTTGCATTGTGTAAAACTTAAGTTCAGGCTCTCTCTCTCTCTCTCTCTCTCTCTCTCTCTCTCTCTCTCTCTCTCTCTCTGTGTGTGTTTCTTTAAAAATTTTTATTTGTATGTAGGTATGTGTGTTTATGTTCCCAATTTGAGTGTGGCTGTGTCAGATGCCCTAGAACTAGAGCTACAGACAGTTATAGACCATCTGATGTGGGTACTGGGATCTGAACTTGGGTCCTCTACAAGATCAAGTGGTCTTAACCACTGGGTCATCCCTTCAGCCCCTTTCTCTCTTTCTCTCTTTCTTTCTTTCTTCCTTTCTTTCTTTCTCTCTTTCTTTCTTTATTCATTCATTCATGTTTGATATCAGAATATGTATCACTCTGTAGCCTAGGCTGGTCTTGCTCTCATAGCCATCCCCCTGTCTCAACCTCCCAAGTGCTGGTATTATACGTATGAGCCACCACACCTGTCTGGGTTTTCTGTTTTAACATTATCCAGTTGTGTCCTATACCACAGTGACAAAAAAAAAAAAAAAAAAAAACCACTGTGTCTCATGAGAAATCTTGCTTCCCAGACTCAAATTGTGTATTTCTTTAAGAATAGATATGATTCTTAATGCATCATAAAAGCAGTGCCCATTCATTATAGTAAAAGAAAAAGCATAAGAGAATAGTGAACATCATCTATAACAATCATATTGCAGATACACATTGACTTTTAATATTCTCTATTACTCAAATTCTAAGCACAAGAGAATAGTGGAAATCATCTAAAATAATAATACTTCAGATACATAATGACTCTTAATATTCTGTACTACCCAAAGAGGAACTATCCGGTATCTATTTGCAATCTGAATTTTTCACACAAAATATACTTTCCTGCAGTATTTCCTGCAGTATATACAGCACAACTTTTGTTGACTACACTGGTTGTGGTGTCTTATTTAAATTATAAGCCAGCATTGATTATATCATGTCTAGTGAATCTTTCTATAAACAATACTGCCGTGAACAAGCTTGACACCTCTTTATGCATACCTGTGGGTGTTTTGTTAAAGGATACACTCCTGTGGATGGTATTGCTTAGACAAAAATATGCTGTTTCTTAAAGCTCTTGATACTCATTTCCCAATCGCCCTCCGTGATGATGCGGCCACTATGGTGGTTGTTTCCCCTGCTCCCCATTAGATGCTTGTTTACAGATGTCTACCATCTCTACAAGTGACCTCCATCATGGATTCTTTTGTCACGTAAGTATTAAGTACCAAGTATTGACCTGGCACACTGCTTTAGGCATCAGAATACGTGGTGACTTGAACTGACAAAATTCTTGCCCTCAGGGATTTTAGTTATACCATTTCTCAGTTCCTCACACCTTCCTTACCAGTTCCCCAGTAAGAATGGTAACAATTATCTTGAATATTCTCTTGTAACACCTAGTAACCATGTCCTGCTTTATTATGTTGTGAGTTTGTCCTGATTGTCACCCCCGCACTCCTGCCTAAGCTACTCTGACACCTAACCTCTCCCACCTGCACCCCAGCAATGGCCATGACCTGCCTGCCAGACTCCATTTCTCTAAACCAGGATCCATTCTTTGACGCTTATAGTCTGGGATTCAGATCTCAAGCAGTATCCACAAGAGACCTTTTAAAGTGTTTCCAACTTCATGGCAGAGTTCAGGTCTTCATCTGGACAACTATGTCTCTTACCACTACACTTTATGATTAACTCAAGCTTTCAGAGCATCCTTTTCTGTGGCTTTTCCTCAGATCAATTTGTATATATGTTCAACAATATATATATAATTAGTCTAACAGGCAGCTCAAGGTGCCCCTCACACGTACAAAAATGTGCTCATACTGGATTGAAGACCTAAGCACAAGAGTAAAAGTATAAAACTCTTAGAAGAAAACAGAGGGAAATGGATTTGGTTGTGTCAGTGATTTTGTGACTGTGACACCTAAACACAGCCAGAAAGAGAAATCTAGATGAATTAGACTACACTAAAATTTTAAATGTCTGTGCACCAAAGAACACAAACAATAAACCGGGGGCAACCCATAGGACGAGAGAACGTGTTTGTAAATCATCTGTCGAATAAGGAGTTAATAACTAGAATATGTAAAGAACTAGCTCTCTCTCACACACAGGAAAATATGGACAAAGGACTTGAATAAACATTTTACCAAATACACAAAGAAATGGACTAGAAGTGATGGTATTGGCATACTCCTGTAACCCAGAATTTGAAAAGAAGAGGCAGGAGGATCATCATGGTTTTAGAGATCTTATCTTAAAAAGAAAGAGAGAAAGAAAGGAAAGAAGAAAGGAAGTTAGGGAAATACTTAAAGTCACCAATTATTAGAGAAATACAAATAAATCAAAACCACAAGAGACTTTGCAGTCATTAAGATGGCTGTTATTTTTAAACATATAGAATGTAATAAGTATTTGTGGGTATGTGGAAAAATTGAAATCCTTGTGCCTTATTAGTAGGAAGGTAAAATATTGTAGCAACTTTAAAAAATGTTAAAGTTTCTATTAAAAAACTCAATTAAAATATTAAAAAATCAATTCTTTGATCTACTGCAGCCTGCCTGTAAGAGTCCCTCTTCCCACATCACCTCTATTCCTGAGGCCTCCATCTCTTGGTATCAATCCTGTCCCCTTAGTTCTTTCCACAGCCTGTTTCAGCCTTTCCTCTTAGCCACCAACCTGCAGAAACACAATCTACCAGGGACCCCATAGCCACCACATCTGCCTGGGATTCAGAAAGGGCAAAAGCAACCAAAGACTGGAATGCCCCCACAACAAAGACACAACCAGATATCGACACCAAGAAACACCTCAAAATATAACAACTCCAGATGCCTAGATCCCTGCACAAAACCACAAACAACCAAGACACTATGCCTCTGTCAGAAGCCAGGAACCCTACTGCAATAGGCTCTGAGAGATGCAACATAGCTGAAGCACAAGCCAGGAACTTCAAAACAGGGATTATGAAACCATGTTCAAGGGCCTTAACTAGGAAATAAATAAATCCCTCATTGAAGTCTGTGAAAACACAAACGAAGAGGGGAATGAAAACAATTCAAGACATGAAAGTAGAATTTGACAAAGAAATAGAATCACTAAAGAAAACTCAATTGAAATAAAACTGGAATGAAAAACTTCAGATGTCAAACAAAAGCCTCAGAGGTAAGCCTCACCAACAGAGTGCAAGACGTGAAAGAGGATACCTTGGGTATTAAGGACAAGGTAGAATAATGGGCAGCTCAGCCAAAGAGAATGTTAAATGTAAGAACATCCAGGCACAAATCATCCAGGAAAGCTGGCACGTTATGAAAAGACCAAATCTATGAATAACAGACTAGCATGGGGAGAGGAAAGAAAATAAGTCCAGGTCAAAGGCACAGGAAATACCTTAAACAAAGTCATAGAAGAAAATTTCCCCAATCTAAAGGAAGAGGTGCCTATCGATGTGTAAGAAGTGAACACCAAATAGACAGAACAAGAAAAAAATTTCCCATAACACATTATAATTAAAGCATTAAAAATGTATAAAAGAGATAAAGAATATTAAAAACTGGGAAAACACTAAGTAACATATAAAGGCAGGTTCATTAAAATAAAACTTCTCAGTGGAGACTCTGAAAACCACTAGGGACTGTTCTACAAACTCTGAGAGACCACAGATGGCAGCCCAGACTTCTATACCTAGAAAATCTATTGGTATCAGTAGACAGATAAAGAAAAACATTCTACAATAAAGCCAAATTTATATAATTTCTATCTATAAACTCATAGTATTAGTGCCTACATCAAAAAAGGAAAGATCTCACATTGCTAACTTAGTGACATGCAAGAAAGCTCTAAAACAAGAAGAACAGCACACAAACAGTAGATGAAAATATGTGTGTGTGAAAACCCATATTCAGGGGTGAAGCCAATGGAAAAGAGACAAATAAAAAGCACAAAGAACGAAATAAAGAGTTGGCTCTTTGAGAATATCAACAAGACTGACAAAACCTTAGACAAACTAACTAGAAGACAGAGAAAGATGGTCCAAATTAATAAAACTAGATACAAAAGGAGGAGATAATAATAAACACTAGGGAAATTCAGAGAAGCATAATGACATACTTTAAAAATCTGTACTCCACCTGGAAATGGGTGATTTTTTTTATTCCTGTGACCTATCAAAGTCAAAACAAGATCAAATAAGCAATTTAAACAGACTCACAAGCCCAGTGAAAGAAAAGTAGCAATTACAAGTCTCCCAATAACAACCAAAGCACAGGGCTTGGATGGGTTCAGTATAGAATTCTATCAGACTATCAAAGAAGAGTTAATACCAATACCCCTCCAATTATTCCACAAAATAGAAACTAAAGGAACATTTCTTAATTCATTTTACAAGGTCACTAGTACCTGAAGGCAAATCCTCACAAAGAGCCAACATAAATTATGGTCTAATTTCCCTTAAGAATATAGATACAAAAATTCTTAATAAAACACTTGTAAACCAAATCCATAAACATATCAAAAAGGTTATCCATCATGATCGAGTTGGTTTCATCC